CATAAAACAAAGTAAGTGATAATGGTATCACAGATGCCAACATGGGCCTCACAGACATTCAATTCAAGAATTCCTGTACAATGATGACATTTTACCAGCCCCAAAGAAAAACTCAGATGAGTACTGGATAGGAGTCAAGGGAAAAGGGTTCAAGGCCTGGCTCTGCCACTCTTTGCCTAGATCTTGGGTGAGTCACTTCATCTTCTGAGCCTTGGTTTATTTATTTATAATTTAGGAGTAAATTCAAAAAAGAAGATTTATGGTTTCTACATATGGAAAGAAATTCTCCTTTGCTATCCTTGAAAAACCTATGTTGATGGTAGGTCTCCTGTGTCTGCCCTTAGCTCCTGGCACACTTGCTGACTCACAGGGGAGAGACTGGACTTACTATTTTTGGACATTCTTAGCAGAATGCCTTGGGCTTGAATAAAGGCACAGATTTTCTCCTCTTACGTTGCTTTAAAAATAACAGCATCCACAAGAGTTAGCCAATTTTTAATTAAAGAGGCTACCTTCTCTTTTCTGGTTTCTGTAAGGAAGATAGGGGAATGGTAGGCTATTTCGGTGAAAGATGTCTTAAAGATCAGTTTTTTCACCTGTTTCCATTATCTGGCCACAAACTTGACAAAGGACACCTTTGGAATGATTTTATGGATATGATAATGCTTATCTTATCCCTTGGATGGTTTAAAAAAAAAGTTTTTTTTTTCAGTGACTCATAGAGCAGGAGTGAATGAGTAAACATCAAATTGGCAAATAGAGCCGCACTGAGATAATGGAATAAAGTTTTAAAGTACATTTCTTTAGTCTCCAGAGAGCAATTTACTTGAAAACTTGGCAATTTTATAAATACTGTTGAAATTAGAATAAATTTGACTTCATTGGCATATCCCTGAATATAGGAATAATTACTGAATCATTCAAATGATTGTACCAATGAGAAATCAGGATTTTAAAAGATTATTCATAATGTGAATACCTGTAGAATCAAAGAGTTTAAATAGTCTAACTCAATTATATTCAAAAGTGGATATACCATTTTTCATCATTGGTAATTATATTTTTTTACATTAAACCTAAAGAGAGCCATGGAAACATGCTCTGTAAGTTGAAGGGTGATATAAATTTAAGGTATTATTGTTATTCCTATTCCCATTATTATTCCTATTCTTCACAGGATCCAGCATATGCTTGGCATGGTTAATAAATATTTGCTGAGGTTTGATGGGGCCATCACCCCACATCACCAGACCAAAACAAACTTTTTATAGATACTCATGACAGTGTGCTCTGCTTATAATTATTTTTTTAAGTGGTTTTAGCTGGACTATTACCTCATTCCTTGCTCTGCCCTGTAATGTCTTCCAACTTTCTCTCTGTTCTATATACTCCTAACTCATCAATCAGGAAGATATGTGCACATGTATGTAGCTTGTGTTATACTTGCCTACATATGGGTTAAGAACCATTCTCAAATTATTTCAAAGCTTGCTTGGGTCCTCAGAGGTAAGAATTAATTCTTATGTTACTTGTATAGGTCTGCTTCCTGAGCACAGTGCCAGGCATGCTATCAGGATAGATGTTTATTTATAATTGAATACATGTCTCAGGAAACCCAGTAAACCCTGTTTTTACCCACATGGATTCTTTTATTTTTCTGTCCAGAGACAATATGTGTTGTCTCAGTGGGTTTTATACAAACAAAACAGCCTCTGAAAAAGTACAGCAAAGCAATTGTCAATATAAAAGTATATGTCATAATATGCCCTTTTGGGGATTACATACTTTTCAAGAAATGTTGGCCCTTGGCTTAAGCTGAGGCTGATATTCTCTAAATTGTACTAAAATCAGTTTTCCTTATATCAGAGTAATAGGAGTCAGGGGTATGATGAATAAATTAAATCTCCAAATAATGGAAAGGAACTAATTTTAGCTCCAAATCCCTATCCTCTAATGTTTCATGAGAGCCATTGCAAACAAAAACGCTAAATGGATAGAGTTTTACTCTCTTTTCTCCCTATTAGTATCTGATGGAATTCCTAATGGGAAAAGAAATCTGACCTCATTAGTCTCTAAACACTCACATCCTAAATAGGAATAGTAGACTACCAAGAACCAACTCCTTTATGTTTCTTTTTTTATACAGTGTTTTCCTAAAATAGGCAGACACCTGTCAGCATCCATTCCCATGGATATTGGCATAGTGGTCATAGAAGGTGTTGTCTTAAGCCCTTATCATACTGCTTCTGCAAGTCAAGGGTCTCAGATATGGCTTACTGTCTTTGGGAAATACAGTCATTACACATGGGTTGCTCCCAGAGGAGATGACCCAGGTATGCTGGTTTCCTGTGGGGGTGAAGAGCAGTGCTCTGTCGGGCCCAATTCCTGGCTTTCTATCTCAGGTCACAGGACTCTTTTCCTGGTTAGCTATCTTTTAAAAGTTTACCACTCATTTTCTACCTCACATCCATCAATGTTTTTGAGGATGTGGAGAAATTGGAACCCTTGCACACTCTCGGGAGGAATGTAAAAAAGTGGAGCTACCTATGGAAAACAGGACGGTGGCTCCTCAGAAAATTAAAAGAATTAATATATGATCTAGCAATTCCACTTTTAGGGATATTCCCCCCAAATCGAGTGTAGGGTCCCGAGGGGATATTTGTACACTTGTATTGACAGCAGCATCATTTACAATAGCCAAAAGGTGGAAGCAACCTAAGCATCCAGAGACAAACGGACAGATAAACAAAATGTATATACATGCAATGGAATATTATGCAGCCCTAAAAAGGAAATTCTGACACATGCTACAACATCGATGAACCTTGAGGACAATAAGTGAAGTAAGCCGGTCACATACGATATGATTCCACTTATGTGAGGCTCCTGGAATAGGCAAATTCACAGAGACAGAATATAGAATGGTGGTTGCCAGGGGCTGAAGAGGAAGAAGAATGGAGAGTTTCGTTTAATGAATATAGGGTTTCAGTTTTGCAGGATGAGAAGAGTTCTGGAAATGGACAGTAGCAGTGGTAACACAATAATATGAATGTACTTAATGCCACGGAGCTGTACACTTAAAATGGTTAATATGATCATTTTTATGTTATATGTATTTTATTATAATTTTTTTCCTATAATTTTTTTTAAAAAGACATTCAAAAAAGTTTACCACTCATCCAGAGTAGACCGAGGGAAGTATCAAGGCAGTGTGACTCACTGGTCTACAGAGTCAGCAAACATGACATTTATATTACCAATTCCTCCCTTCTTATGGCCCTTGATAAACATTACTAATTAATCATCCCAAGTTCCTTCCTCCCAAGCCCAGATGCAATATCATAACCTTTCTCATAGTAGCACAGGCTACTATGCCAAATTATTAGAGCTGATCCATCAGCTGCATCGATGTAGGAGAAAATTGTGATGGTCTATGAAATCCGTGCTAGAGAAAAAAAATACAATGATCTAAAGTTTCATAAAATAGGAAAAATCAACATGAACTTGATATATTAAGAAAAAAATGATATTTCCTATCTCAAAAAAGTCCCAATAACTGAACTAGAGGCAGTACTTCTGGCCCACATTACTACTCATTTGAACCCATATAACCCAGTTTCAGGTTTCTATATTTTCTACAAAAAGGAACTAGTCTGTGAAGCAGGACCTATTATCAAGTATGAATATGAATATGTACTTGTTTCTATCTGTATGAGCAGGTGAGACTAGGAACCTGTAAGTAGGCCAAGTAGCCCCTTCAAAATGAAGAGAATACCATGAACATGAGCAGCTTTTGTGCTTCTTAGGTCATCCAGAAAGGAATAAACGGAGCCCCTCAGTTCATTAACACTAATGATTACACATAATAAATAATGAAAAGAGAGCCCAATGGCACATCTTCAGATGATAGATAAGCTGGATGTCACACTTCCCCTGGCCTTGAGAGAGCCAAAACTGGGGACCCACTCCTCCAGTTTCTATGGAATAAAATCTCTAGATGACCCTACTAATGAGACACTGATAAGATGTAAGTAATGTTCCAATCATACCATAGAAGTCAGTATATCATAACGTCAGAAAAATTAGTTAAGTTTAAGCCATCTGTTCACAACTTCTGGTAAAGACATTGAGTTTCAGCAGAAGAGTATCTATCTGAGGGGTAGATACACCTTCCAGGATGTAACGAGCAGACTTCATAATAAAAGGGTTTTGAACCACTGGACTGTGCAACCAGATTCCACATCCTGACCTGAAATCGAAGGGTTAGTGACTTAGAACTTGCATCCTCAGAGGGTCTTCTTTCTTTCTCCCCGCATCCCCTAACACCTCCCCCAATAGGGTCTTTTTCTTTAAGGCTGTAATAAAATCTCTAAAATCCTAGGAAGAAGTAAATTTTATACCACATAGACTTCTAAGGCAGAGTAGAAATTGGACCACAGGCATGTGTAAAAGGATAAAAACATAAGTTTTGTAATTATTGGGCTAGTTTACTGTGTGCTTTTGTGCTTTTTAAGATATTCAGGTTATTTAAGGAAATGTAATTTATTGGATTTGTGATTCTTAATCAGGTCCTTAAGAGTGCTTGTCTCATTTCAATCACTATAAATGATCGAGGAAATTTGCTCTGTTAAATCCATAAATTTTGGTGACTTTGTTCAATAAGTAGTATATGGCTATTTGGGGAATGTTAATTATGTTTAAAGAAATACTGCTTAATAAATTATAAATTAGACATTAAACAATGTACGAATGGTCATAAGTATTCTTCTCCAAGCATAAAAATCCACTGGACAGTAAAGACCATCAGAAGATGAAACCAATTTGCCATTCCAGGAGACTCAAGACTGTTAAAGAAGATTGTTATTCAAATAAAGATATCATGTGCTGAATCTTTTCTATACAGATGGTGCCAATTTCTCAGATTTGGTGGGGCTTGCATTTTTGATCAACTTATGTGTGGTGCCAATTTCATTGCCACCTTAGAGCTGTTGATTCCATACCTTTTGGCTCATCTGTCTTTCCTCTTGGGTTATCATCTTTTGTGGAATCTTTCAAGGTTCCATATTCCTTTTCCATCTTAGCTGCTTCTTCCTTGGTACTATCTGTTTCTTCATGACTCTTTTCTGACGGTGCTGTAATCAGATTGTGCACCCTGTGGTTATAACCCTATTTTCTATTAATTAATTCATAATGTAGAAATAAGCTTTATTGAAAAGGTACAGTTTAAGGTCGGATAATTTTTCAGGCTGAAAGGGATCTTAGTGATTATCTAGGCAACTTCCTCCAATTTTGCAGAGGAAGAAACTGAGGCCACAATGGGGAGAGATGTGAACTGAGTCGGCAAAAGAGCTGGGCCATAGCCTTAACTTGCCAGATTGTGGTTTAGTGTTCTTTCCCTTCTGCTACCATGTCGTTGGAGCACAGACTATTTTCTTTACTATAATCAGTGTAGGCAGTCAAGTAGGATATCTCAGGTCCCAAAGTAAGGTTGAATCTCCATTACAAAGTAAGATAACTCTGTAGTTGTTCAATTTCTCCATGATGTTGTCTTTTTGAAGAACACTCTATAATTCGGAGTAGCATCTAAGAATTTGGGGCTATGGCAAGACTTCTTCTGCCTCTTTCTTCATACTCCCTTATCCATGGTCACCCTACTACAAAGAAGAGAACTGGACCCTTGCTGTCAAGATGGGATTATCTTTGTTTACTTGTGTACTTAAATATAACTAATTTCCATATCAATTATACTTCAAAAAAATGAGAAAACAAGAATTGAAAAAAAAACTGCATTTCTCCTAACAATCTTATGTTGAATTAAAAACATCATAAACCTTAAAGTAGCTAACTGCTTGAAAGCAACTATAATGTATCCCTGTTGTAAGTAAAATAGGAAACGTCAAGCAGCCTAACAAATAGCTTTGCTTTTTCAATAAAAGGGTTATTACTATAAAAAAAGAGGAAAGAAGAAAGAAGTCAGTTGTTTCCTCATTATGCAAACATCCATTCCTAGTGCTGTGGTCTATTTTTTGATGTGCAATTTTTTTCATAGTTGCAGTACAATTTTGTTCCTTGCTTTTGCCATTAACATCATTACAGAAAGATGTTTCCAGGTTATTAAAAACTACTTGGAAACATCATTTTAAGGTGCTGCATAATGTTCCATAAAATATATGTACATAACCTTTGTGATAGGAACACAAGATTAAGCATATGAACGTGTAATTTTTGTCTTTTTGTTCCTCCCTCCCCCCTCAAAGCAAGCTCCTTTGCACAGCTTGGTTCCGTAGTGTGATGGGCAGAGATGCACAAGTGAAGAAACCAAGAGAAGGGGGTAAATCACATTACCCAGGGGCACAGACTGTCTCAGAGGAGAGAGAAGACTTGGAAGGGGAGAGCTAGGAGAGGGGCAGCACAGAGTGGATGCATGATCAGGGATAGTGCACTGGAGAAATGGTGATCTCAGAAGAGGAAAAAAAAAAAATGCCTAAAGAAGATTTGCAGGAAGAATGACTCAGTTTTGTGATACAGTCTCCTCCCTTCCCTATCGCTTAGATCCCTAAGAATCTTCGGGAAGACCTGCATTTCTCTTCAATGCTCCTTGGGATCAGATTTCTATGCTGAGTCTAACTGCAAAATAGCCAAGGTTATAGCTACTTGGTCCTCTGGTTGGATTTCAGATTTTAAAACTTTTGAAATCTAGAATTGTTGATTAATGTTTGTTGAACTTATTTACCACACAAAGAGCAATTATGCTCAAAGGTAGAAAAAAATAGTTAAATAAATCATACCTGGGAAAAGTTTGCTTTTATTGTCAGTAACGTTTTTTTCTAGCTTGTTCTTAGTCTGAAGAGCAATAGTTTCATCCAAGTTTTCTGGAGGGAGGAGGGGAAGAAATATGAAATATAATTTTATTTCCTGAAAGATGATACCAAACTTCTACTAAAACTGTTTAAATCTCATCAGAAATATCACAAAGCATTAACACTGCAATTAAGATGCATGGATCTTATTTCTAGGAATGCACTATTTGGGATCCTTAATTCAGCCTCCTACTCAGTTAATTGCAGAAGTCCCTTCTACATCTCCGTGGCCTCTGCTAGAACACATCGGGGTTGAACTTTTACTGGGAACCTGTGGTTTGAACTTCCTCAACACCTTCTGGTAACTACACCTCAATTTTCCTTTGGAGAACCCAGATCATTTCCATTGTCAGCACATTTGACTCAGGAGGGGCCTAATAACCCAAGCCTGGCTCCTCAGGGGCTCCACCACGCTGGGCTGAGTGGTTGGTTCAAAGGGGGAGCTCCTGACACAAGCCAAGACAATGAGATTCAATGCTGGGACCACTGGGAGAAAGAGGATCTTTTCTTGCCAGGATTGCTGTACTGTGAGGATGGAGATTGCCAGCCATCTTTTTCCTATAACAGAACAGCTTGTCTAGAATGAATCAACACATGGAAAATCAGTGCCGGGAGATGGGAGAGGGACAGATTCTTCACACTACTGGTGGACTTTACAAACCCAATGTCAGACTACTCCCCCCCACACACACCTCTCCACCCCTAGACTCCTGAGTTACACGAGGCAATGAATGCCTTTTCCACTACCATGCTGCATAGCACAGTTATAAACAGTAGTGGAAATACCTACCTCACACCTAAGCCCTGGTGGCATTTCTAATCTATTTCCATTGGATGAATTGCTTCAGTGTAGAATTTTGGAGTCATAGGGTATTGGTATGAAACAATGACTGATCTGAAACAATTGCTTTGATCTACTGTTGAGCAAAGCCGGGCACAAAACATTACATATGATGTGAGCTCATTTTTTGTTAAACAAGATAAAACAAGGAAAGAAACAACAAAGGTATACACATATGTGTATGTGTGCATGCACAAACACACAAATATCTAGAAGGATGTACACCAGAACATTACCTGGGTACCAGTATTATGAGTGATTTTTTTTTTTTTACTTTTTTTAAACATCATTTTGCATTGAATGATCTTTTACAAATAAGTATGCTCTTTTGTAATCAGAAACAAAACAGGTAAACGATTCTCATGTGGAAAAAAAAATGGAGTTCATAGAGAGTCTTCTGGATTATTCTGTCCTATGAGATTTTCTCTTCTAATTCTCCCTCCTCTATCAGAGATCAGAGTAAGGGGCTGTGAGGTCATCTTGCCCAAAGGACATCAGGGAGAAATGGTGTTTGTTGATTAAACCAAGCAGGAAAACCAAAGGCTTTTTTTTTTTTTTTAAACAACCTGTATGCACAGAGAATGTCCAAGCTTATCTACAAAGTCCAAGCAATCAAAGGTCAGCAAACTTTTTTGGTAAAAGGCCAGATAGTAAATATTTTTTGGCTTTGTGAGTCGTATGGTCTCAGTTGCAACTACTCAACTCCACATTGTAGCACAGAAGCAGTCATAGACAACATTGAACAAATGAGTGTGGCTATATGCCAATAAAATTTTAGTTACAGACCATGAAATGTGAATTTTATATAGCTTTCTTGTGTCACAGAATACTATTCTTCTTTGTTTTTTTTTTTCAAACATTTAAAAATGTAAAAGCAATTCTTAGCTTGGTTATACAAAAATAGGTAATGGGCCAGATTTGGTCCATGGGCAGTAAGTAGTTAACCAGCCCCATCATAGATCACAAAGTCCTTTATCTTACAGATGCAGAAATTGAGGTCAAGCAAGGTGAGTGCCCTCCCCCATGGGACAGAGCTGGTCTCTGGCAGAGCTGGACCGGGAGGCATCACTTCTGCTGCTCAGTCCACTGCTCTTTCCTTCCCACCACACACAGACCTCACTAGTTAAAATCAACTATTTTAGTCTTCGCCATCCAAACACAATTGAGAAAAAGAATCAAACTTTAATAAAACTATTTCCATGAAGATATCTAGAAAATGTTAATAAGGCAAAGTGTAATAAATATGGCATGTTTGTACTCAAGCTATATCTATAAAGAGTTGAAAACTTCTGGTTAATTTTATCTGTATGCATTATCAAGCTGGTCAATTCCGGTTACTCAGATGATTCGGGCTATTTTGGCATAAATGATCACATTTGTGAGGGAATTATTGCAAAATCTCTAATTCACTTTGGACAATGAAAATTCTTACAGTAAAACAAAACAGGTAGGACTCTCACCAAGGTAGGAAACGCCTTCTTCTGGAGATATTGTACCATATTTTACCATCATCTTCACAAAGTCAATCAATGTTTTCATGATAGTAATCAGTGTTTCTTTCTCTTTTGCTTCTTTTTCTATATAAAAGGACAAAATACTTAAAAAAATATTTATTCATGAGAGGCAGAGAGAGAGAGAGGCAGAGACATAGGCAGGGGGAGCAGCAGGCTCCTTGTGGGGATCCTGATGCGGGACTTGATCCCAGGACCCTGAGATCACGACCTGAGCCAAAGGCAGATGCTCAACCACTGAGCCACTCAGCTGCTTCCCTGCTTTTTTAAAGATTAAGATAAAATAATTAAAAACAAAAAAACGAAAAACTAGTGGAGTATAGCTTCCTCTTTCAGTGTCAGTTTATGAAGTATGGCATTTATTGTAATATTTCTCCTTACATTTATAGCTGAAACCACATATATTTAATTTATAAAAAGTCTAAGATTTGATTGGGAATACAGGATAATGTACAGGTGTACTGAACTTTTCCAGAAATGGGCAATTATAACTTCTCCAAAAAGATTTACTTTAATCTAAAATACTTTATTAATAGGGTAGAAAACCTGAGGTAATATGAACTCAGAAAGAAGATTCATGACCCAACAGGTTTTTCTTTACTCAGGCTATATGTTTTTGAGGGCAAGAATGACCCCATTAATCAAACTTAATATTTGAAAATAAAAACATACATGTATCTTTATTTTTTAAAACTTAAGGTTGATTTTTAAACAATAGATATTGCTTTCTAAACTTTATTTTACTTGAAAGAATATATGCATATAGCAAAAATATTCCAACAGTAAAGAAGTAAATAATAGTGGAAATAACATCCCCCCCACACACACACACCTAGTCCCTGTAGGTAACCACTATTAACAGTTTCTTAGAAACTCTTAGGATTTGACATACTGTTCTGTATCTTGATGGAAGAGGATGGCTGATTATTCCATAGTCATTCCATATATATATATATATATATATATATATATATATATATATATATCATCCAAACACACATATATATAGAACACACATATATATATAGAATATATATAGATGTTCTAAAATGTTTAAAAAATCTATTTCCATTTTTGAAGAAAGGTACTACACAGCAGCCCATTTCCCCTATTCTTTTAGCTGCCATGAAGGATTTCTCTTAAAAACTTCTAGCCTTGGGATCCCTGGGTGGCGCAGTGGTTTGGCGCCTGCCTTTGGCCCAGGGCGCGATCCTGGAGACCTGGGATCGGATCCCACGTCGGGCTCCCGGTGCATGGAGCCTGCTTCTCCCTCTGCCTGTGTCTCTGCCTCTCTCGCTCTCTCTCTGTGTGTGACTGTCATAAATAAATAAAAATTAAAAAAAAAAAAAAAAAACAACTTCTAGCCTCCACATCCCCCCACTGCCCCCTCTCACCACCGATATCTTTTCATCCTTCCCACAGATGAGGTTAGTAGACAATGACAATTAGTCTACATCTCTTGACTTATAGGGATTTGGAATATTTCTTCTTTTTGCTCCCCAGGAACAGTGAAAGGCAGTGTCCTGAGATAAATGCCTGCTCTGTAGAATCAAACTATCCTTGGTATTGGCTGTTTCAAAAACTAGACTGAAGACTGGGAGTGAACAAGCCCATTGTTGGATCTCACGCTAAGCTGCATCTTACAATCCTTATAACCCAGACTTCATTAGTATCAGAAATATTTTGGTTTTCTACCTGTTTTATGTTGGTTCAGACCTTGGGTGAGAAAGATGGGTTTTGTTAAAGACTTTAGTGTAAGTATTTAAATTAAAATTCTATAAAAATAAAGGAACTAAAGAACGGGTCAAGGAAACTGTAAGATAAAAACAAATAAAAAGCATTCCATACAGTGGAATCTTTAAAATATCATGAAAGTCCCAAAGTTGGGAGAGAAGAAAGGTGAGAGAGGAGATGGGGAAGAGATCTTAGAAAAGTGCTGGAAAATAACTTCTGCCATCACAGTATTTGTTCAAGGTCACATCTGTATAGTATCTGGTGTCATGCCGATGCTCTTCACTGACAAGAAGTGACTCACCAAGATGACAAAGGTTCTGAGCTGGACATTTGCCATCCAATGGGGCAAGATGGCTGAGAATGGACCCTCAAGATGTATAAGCCCTGCAGACACCAGCAGAGGGGCTGGTGCCATCTGGCCAATATCTGGAATTAAAGGACAATGGACGTTCTCCAGAAATGAAAGCTCACTTTACGGTCACTTCTTGGGGACATATTTATCACAAATGTTCAATCTGGGGCTGAGTCTTTGAACAGGGAGAAGAAAAGCCATAAAGAAGAGTATCTGTCTGGACAATAGTAACAACAGAAAATTTGCCCATTATTATCTTCCTTGAAGATTTATTAAAATTAAACATGAATTGACATTTTCAGCTAACTTATTTTGGTGTATATTTAAGAGAAAAAGCACATTAAGGACTTTATTTTTTAAAAACAAACCATTTCCCAAGTGTGTCTGAGCTCCTGACCTGCTGTGGTCTAATGTTTATTTTAACTCATCTCAAGACTGAAGCTGAAAATGTCTAAAAAGTAAAAATCTGAATTATTTTTAAAAAGGATAAATTATGTTATACACACTGCTCCCACTAAGAGAGGAAAATGAACACAGCCTTAAAAAAAAAAAAAAAGATTTACAATAAGATTTGAGGCTGAGCAGGTCAGGCAGGGACACTGATTTCTCTCCTTATCTGCACAGCACTCACTTCAATGTCACAAACGCCACGCATATCTGGTAACTATTTGTTGAACAAATAAATGAAGCCTCTGGTAGCAAGAAAATTAAATTATCCAAAAATTCCACCTTTTCTGATTATCCTATGCTAAATACTTTCATGACTAGTATACTTCTTTGAAAAAATTGACATGAACTCTTTTCCCCGAGGCCACTGACAATATATGTCATCCAAAATTGTATTTAGAAACTGAAAACAGGAAGAAAAAGAACCCACCCACACATTTCCTGGAATTGATGTTTCTATTCCACATGGTCACAGTGTTTACCTGAATCAATACTTTTCAGTAGTGCATAGAAGTTTGGGAAATATTGGAGTTCCTCAAAGTTATCTTCATTGTAGATTTTAGTTCTCCTTTCCAAGCCATTTGTCAAGGTTAAGGTATTAGAGACTGTTTCATCATTTTGTCCATTAGTAAAACCATCTTGAATTGCTGCCACTGGAGTCTCCATTGGGGGGAAAAATCAACAAAAAATAAAATTTTGTTAGAACGAATCACACTCCAGCTCAGTTCTTTCCTCTGTGGTGCCCTTGAATGTGAAGTACAAGAACATGTCCTCCTTTGCAAGCTCCTGGAGGATCAAACCCATTTCCAGGCATGTGGGCATCTAGCCACATGGAAAGGTCATTGGGGCTAAGAGACATATGTTTCACCTGAGGACCCTGGCTCCTACTCCTGGAGAATAGACAGGGAATTTCTAGGTTCCTACTTGGCCAAGTTCCCCTCTGTCAGTTCTCATGAGTGTCTCCTCATAAAGGTGCCTTTTACCAAGGCAAGCTTTGAAGTCACAGACTCTATGACAGGATACAGGAAAGCCTGTCAGAATATCTAACACCAGCAGAGCAGTCATACCTTGGGGACTTTGCAGTAAAATTTTAAGGGCTATCTGGAAGGGTACACAGGACTCTTTCTTCCAGACCTGCTCCATTTCTAGTGTTAGGTAATGATCCATTGTCCCTTCAGTGGACTAGACAGAAATTTAAGAGCCTTTCTTATCTCTTCCTCTTCATTTCCTTCATCTAATCCATCAGTAGCCTTGTTGGTCCTACTTTCAAAATTTATCCCAAATTTATAATTTCTCTCTTTCTCCATTACCTGGCTCTAGTCCAGGTACCTTCATCTCTTGCCTTCTAACTGGCACATCAACTACTTCTAATTGATTCCCAACACTGCATTTTCTGTGTTATAGCCAGAGTTACCTTTTTTTTTTTTAAATGTGATCACATAACTCCTTTGCTTAAAATCCTCCAGTATTTTCCTATTAGTCCTACAATGAAGATCAGAATCCAAGGCCTTGCCTGGTCTGCCCTGGGTCCACCTCCTCAAGCTCATCTCTCATTGCTCTTTCTGTGTGCCAGCCAACCTGCCCTTGTTGCAGCTACTTGGATACCCCACACATTTTTCTTTACATACTGCCTCTCACACTCAAAGTGAACTCCTATTTAGCCTTCAGTTTGGGTTCAAGTCACTTCTTCAGGGAAGCCTTCCCTGAGCTTAAGTCCAGAAAAGGTTCCTTTTTTACAAGGTCTCATAGAATCATGTTTCTTTCCTCAGAAAACTTAAGGCAGTTGTAGTTAAAATAGGTGACAATTTGAAGACCATCTGCTTCTTCCATTAGACCGTAAGATACATGAGAGCAGGGATTCTGTCTCTTTAAATGAGCATTGTATCCCCAGTGCTTGGTTCATAACTGGTACCTCAATAAATATGTATTGAATGAATATTTCCTTTGCTTTAATGCATTTAGATGACATGAGTGAACAGGTCAAGCATATGAATGTTTTAGAGATGGGTGAATAAGGAGTACAAAATGGGAGTGAAAGATCAGGACAATACAATAGCTATGTCACTTTCAGTTCAGATGGTAAGCTTGAGTTCTTTGATAGATCAAGAATGTTTTGGGTGGATTTTTAAAAGCTGTTTAAAAAACGAAAGCTGGTGATTAGAAATAGGGAGACCAAAGGAGAACTTTATGTTACTTAGTAAAAGAAAAATTCAGACCCAATTTCTGTTTTCTAGCTTCCTCTAAAACATAATCATAGGCCTATACATTCTTTTTCCTTGTATTTGGGATACGATGTTGGAGGGGATGAAGAGCCATGGAATCTGGGTCCTCTGGTGGAGAAAATAGGAGAGATGAAGAGTTTAATATTTTCTTATATCCTTCTGTGGTCAGCTCCAACTAGAGTTTTACAGGGATTCAAAGATGGGAGAAAGATTTTAGTAGCTTGGCAGATGCCAGAGAAAAGATGAAGAGGCACAGAGTCCAGGAACAGGAAGGAAGGATGAATGCTTAGTCAAAGTAAAGGATGGTTCCAGACCTCCAAACCAATGAGAAGAGGATACAGCAAGTGGAAGAGCTCAGAATATAACATGCAGTATCAGGCAACTAGCTCTGGGGATATACAGGATGGTGTGGCAGAGGATCAAATCAACCCAAGTTTCTTTTTTTGGGTTCTGGAGGCAGATGATGACACTCTGTGAACAGAAGTTGTATACTGAAAGAGCTGTGAAATATTTGGTTCCAATTCTCTGACATTATACAAACAGCTGTTATGTGGAATGGTTATAACATTTCCACATAACATTATGGGTTAATTTACTGAGCAGTATAAGATGTAGCCTTTACTGTGTAATATAATATAACGTGTATCTTCATTTTCAACATAGAGTTGATTTATATCTTTTAACAGTATTTTGTGAGTATATATTTTAATTGGGTCAAACGAATCAAATACCAAATCTTCTTTGGTATCAAGGAAGATATTAATTATATACAGATTGTATTAATTATACACAAATACAAGCAGACACATACACACATCTATAACATGCAGATGATTTCATATATACATACCACTTTCTCTGGTATTTTTCCAGCCTGACTCTCAGTCACACTTGTTGGTTTATTGGGTTCCTCCTCGTAAGTGTTGGCTTCCTTTGAGATCAATTTCTGTAAAACTTCTGCTACTTCATCTTCTAGTATGTGTGCCTGGCTTTCTGTGATCTGTTACAAAGAGTGAAAATATAATATATAACTGTTATTTTCATACTTGTGATTAAAAAGTCTAGATTAAACTCTGTAGTTGAATAGATTTTTAGAAGATGAGAGAATCTTTTGGTCCTTCTTTCTAGATAACCCTTGTTTACACCTGTATTAGTTGCTGGCCATTCTAGTGACTACCCCAGCACTCCTGGGAAAAAGTGCCTTTGGTCAGGCAAGTGATCAGGCCTGTCTTTTGGAATCCATGGAACATTTATTTTGAGAAACATCTTGAGGGTTATTTCTCAACCCTCAGATGCAGGTCATGACTAGGTAACCACTGAAACAGGCAAATTTAGTACCCTACTAAAGCCTGATAGGGCTGTATAAAGGCTGGGAGCCAGGCTGAGGGATTTAAATTGCTTACAGTTTCCCAAAAGTTGCAGGTCTTTGCTCCTGTTATTCTTTTCTCACAATTCACGTATCTGTTATCATCATGTATCACAAAACATGTACTGCTATTCATTAAATCTTAACCATCCTTTTAAGCTGACTTCAAACACCTGCTTCTCTGAAGCTCTTACTTATTCCCCAACTGGATATAGTCCATCCTCTGGCATGCTGAACTACTTTTATGGTTCTGATGCATCTTGCATTGTGGGCATGTGTGCATTTGTGTAGTTCCTCTGGTAGATTATAAGTTCCTAGAAGAATGTTGTCTTACTTGTTCTCAAAACCTATGTTTAATATAAAGTAGATGTATTATAAATGTTTGGCTATTTGGATCACATGGCTTGGCTTCTTAGCCCATTCCAAACTGTACTAAGAAATGGGTTTATTCTCATGCATGACTTACTAGACCAAGATTCAGCAGTTTAGAAACAATCTTGTCAAATACTCCTCTGTCATTTTCCTCATAAATCCTGGTAGCAATTTTCTGGACAATGTCTTCAGCAGTTAAAGGAGTTCCATCTAGTTGATGAAGGCCATCTGGATCATCTAGACAAAGTAATCACAGCCTCACATTGTAGTTATCACGGGCCTATTTCATGGATATTATATTTTTAATTTGTACACTTAGATTTATTTGGAATGTATTTATGGTGTCGCCTGGTCCACAAAAACCCTGGTTTGAAGTAAAATTTTACTTAAAGGGAAGAAGCTAGGATAATAATGGAAATTCTGAAAGCTTCTTATGTGATTTTTAAGAAAAAGGAAGATCTTAAGACAACACAAAAGGCCTCTCCATTTTTTATTTTCATTAATAATAAAAGCAAGATTGTATATTAAGATTTTACAGTGTGCCATATTTATGCAGTACGCTGTATTGGCCAAAACACCCTTCCATATAATTTGATATTCCATTTCCATACAAGGAGTGGACTAGTAATATCTACGCATGTATTTCTTCTGCTGACAAATTCCTGGGCTGGGGCCAGGGGAATCTGCCTCACGCTCAGAATCAGAGAGGATGTATCGAAGATTTTATGACTTATCTGGAATAAATATTTACTTCTAACCGAATGTGTGTCAGAACTCCTTTATGGAAGACAGCTTAATTTGATAAGCCCCTTTCTCTAGAGAATAGGGAACTTAGTGTATGTGTCTGAAATTTAAATTTTCAAAATGAGACAATAGGGACGCCTGGGTGGCTCAGTGGTTGAGCGTCTGCCTTTGGCTCAGGGCATGATGCCCAGTCCCAGGATAGAGTTCGGCATCATGCTTCCTGCGGGGAGCCTGCTTCTCCCTCTGCCTGTGTCTCTGTCTCTCTCCATCTCTCATGAATAAATAAATAAAATCTTAAAAAAAAAATAAAATGAGACAACAGATTTGTACAAAGCAATATGTAAATATATGTAAATCTCTGCAGAGATGCTTGCAAATATGTATCCTTGGCTTTCCTGGGAATACACTTGGCAGCACTAATTCAAAGTAAAGCACGAGCTCATCCTGAGAGAAAGGGAGGACACAGAAGAGTTGGTGGCAAGGAAGCATTGCACCAGGTCCAAGACAACTCTCAGGAATTAACTGGTCTTTTCTAACATATACCACACCAAGCAATATATTAATATGTGCAAGTTTAGAAAGCATTTAACTCTTCCTGTCACCTCTAGACAGATGGGAAAGATCAGAATTTTAGCCTACGATACCACTTGTTATCTAGATATCCTTGGACCACTGTAAAGGGAAATAATAACATTATTTGTTTCATGTGATTATTATGAGCATCAGATGGAATAAAATCTAAATGCACCTTTTAAATTGCAAGGTACTATATGAAAGCTAATGTGTAGTATTATATGAAAGCTAAAAATTATCATATATAGTGGATTTGTACCAACTGCAGTTATCTTCTAGAGAAAATGGAAATTGAATCTCTGGTCAAATTCTGCCTGAATAATTCTGATCATATTTCCTCAAAGAAAGAGGAGTCTAGTATTTCTATTCTGATTCTGTCCTTTTCTTCCATGTCTTTTGGGATTCAAATGAGAAATTTCCCTAACAACCTTTCTTCCAGAACCTATATAGCTGAAGATATATGCTGCCTTAGGCAGAACATTTTCTTGTTGTTTGAAAAAAAGCTTAGGAAACTGAAAAGGGTGATTATACATGGAAGACTGGAAACTTCCTGGCAGTATATTATTGCTGAACTGTCGACAAACCCATTAGCTATGAGCCCTTTGAGGCTTATGTACCAGGGTGACTAATAAACAGAAAAGATCCTAAGAAAAAAACCCATAAAATCAGTTCACCTCCTGACTGACTGAAAATTGGGTTCTTCATCCTTTTTTTTCAGGAGCAGAGACTCATTGTTATTTAGGTCTGATTTTTCCATTTGCTGACTGCAAGACAGACTCTGGGGAATATGTGGAGCAGAAACTACCAAGATCTATGCAGAGGTGGAAAAATTTATTTCCCTTCCCACTTAATCCCTCAGGATCTGAAAAAAAAGAAGAGTACTGGTTGCCTGCCGGAGCTGGAAAATAACTGAGATGACTGTTTTTTTCAGTTCATTTACTTCATAACAGGGAGAACATAACCAACACTCAGAAAAAAACAGCCTCTTTGCTCTGCTGCACCGCTGTGTTCTCTTGAGCCAGGAGCTTAGGACTCCCTTAGCAGACCTTTGCTGGATGAAGTTAATAGTTGACTACTCGGGCATTGCTCTTTACCTTCCACTAATTTTCCTTGGCTTTTCTAAAATGGACAGAATTATTCAGAGTGACTTTTCTACTGCTCACGAAGGTATATTTTACCCTCTTATATATACCCTCAGAGGGAAACCAAACATGAGTTCAACATCCATATCTTTTTTAAAGCAGCTACAACATTCTAAGTGGGTGTAGAAGGACCATTTTCCAAGTCATTGAATACTTGGCATCTATTTACGGCACCTGACATTCATTTGTCCAATCAATTTTTTTTTATTTTTAAAGATTTATTTATTTATGAGAGAGAGAGAGAGAGAGAGAGAGGGAAAGGGGGGCAGAGACACAGGCAGAGGGAGAAGCAGGCTCCATGCCGGAGCCCGACATGGGACTCGATCCCGGGACTCCAGGATCGCACCCTGGGCCAAAGGCAGGCACTAAACCACTGAGCCACCCAGGGATCCCCTGTCCAATCAATTTTTACTGAAGTCTTAATATGGGCCAGAACTGGAAATAGACTTATAGTTTAGGCATGATGCCTAACTACACACAGCTTATTGTCTAGTTCATAGCTTGAAACATAGTAAACATAGCTCAATGAATATTTATGTGGTAAATGTACATAGGCGCCCCAAAGCACTACTTCATAAAAGAAACTTGGAAAAATCCTGAATCACATATACTGTAGAAAACACAGCAAAAGCCTATCTGGAGGTTTCCTAAAGGTGTAAAAGTACCCTGCAGAAGTTTGGCACCCTCATACTGTCTTCTGGGATATAAGTCTGCATGCCTTTGACGTTCCAATTAACTTGGTGACCCCAAACCCACCTGGTTCCAGGACTTCCAAGGTATAAGAAGAGGCCAGTAATCCATTCATAGACTATTCTCCCCAAGAGTCTTCTCTGTAGTCTCAAGAGGACTTGAAATGACTTCTAAAGTAAACCTAGAACTATCAGGTCTAGTAATTGATAGTTCTGAACCCATTTGGGATGGTAATAAAATGTTGAACAATTAAAAAAAAATAAGTTACTCAAGTTAGTGGCCAGATCACAAACAGAGTTATGCCTCTGCCTGGACATACAACCAGTTTGAGCAAAAAAAAAAAATGTAAAACAAGCATTAGACTATTTTTTTAAATTTTATTATATCAAACAATTGGTTCAATCAAAGTGGTTGAAACTGTTTTGTATGTAGCTATACCCAGTGTCTATTTATTTCTAGGCCAAATATTTTAGGGTTCTTTTTTTAAAGATTTTATTTATTTATTCATGAGAGACACACAGAAAGAGGCAGAGACATAGGCAGAAGGAGAAGCAAGCTTCCTGCAGGGAGCTCGACGCGGGACTCGATCCCAGGACCCTGGGATCACACCTGTGCCTGTGAGCTGAAGGCAGACACTCAACCACTGAGCCACCCAGGTGCCCCCCCCCCAAAATTTCGGTTTAAAAAGTAGAATTCAAGAGAAACAAATTTCCAGTAATGTTTCAAAATATAAGCCATCTCCTCTATCCCATTCACTTACAACAGACTTCTGAATTTTTCTCAGGCCATGATATCCAATGAAAATCATATTTATTTAGTAGTTGTTCCCTGGCAGAGAAAACTAGCATAATTCTCTTGTGACCATACAACAGAATAAGAACATTAAAGAAAATCTGTAGTCACTCTTAAGCAGTGGTCTTCAGCACTGAAAATACACTCTCTTCCTCTCTTTCTCAATGCTCAGATATAGTGGTTCATTTATTCCCCGTGTATGAATTTATTTGCTCATTTATTCATCTATTCATACACTGATTTCATAAGCATTGAGACATTGGGTATACAACTGCTAGTGAAGTTTTCAGTTTAATTAAGGAGAAAGACATAAATCATAAGTAGTCACACTTAGGATTGTAAAATTATAAATTATAGTAAGTGTCAGGAATGAAAAGAACAGGTTTCTATCAGATCATGTGTACTGGATGAATATAGAAATCTGTCCTTCCAGGACTATAGAAGCCACATTAAGGATTTTTGGGTTTTATCCCAAGAGAAATAAGAATCTACTAATGGATTTTATCCAAGAGTGACAAGTTCATACTTGTGTGTTGAAAAGATCACTCTGACAGCTCGGAGATGGTGAAAGGCCAAGTGGATGCTGGAAGATCCATTAGAAGATTTTGCTGTAGTTCAAGTGAAACATGATTAGAGTTTGGACAAGGATGATAGTGATCAAGGATGGAGAAAAAAAACCATTTTATAGATAGGTTATATATATAAACATATATATAAATCTTGGAGAAGAAGTCTGGGCTAGTGTTACAAGACATTAGGCCATAGATCATAATTAAGACCATGGAAAGGTTAGAATGACCTAGAGAGAAAGATAGGACTACGAAAAGAACAGTGAAAAGAAAGTAATGGATATTTTAGTTTTTGCGAGGAGTATTTTATTGATCTAGTTATTTGAGAATTATGATATTTTCTTTGTACTAATAATTAAAATAAATTGGAATGTTAAAATGAATTCAATAACATAAAATATAGATAGCAGATTTAAACTGATTTCAAAGCATAAGTAAAGGAATCTTTTTTTTTTTTTTTTTTTTTTTAATTTACGATAGTCATACAGAGAGAGAGAGAGAGGCAGAGACACAGGCAGAGTGAGAAGCAGGCTCCATGCACCGGGAGCCCGACGTGGGATTCGATCCCGGGTCTCCAGGATCGCGCCCTGGGTCAAAGGCAGGCGCCAAACCGCTGCGCCACCCAGGGATCCCAAGTAAAGGAATCTTAAAAAGAGTAAATAAAATTCAGACTTTTGTAGAGCTAAGGCCTCACCAAAATTTGGGCTTTGTCTAATTTTGGTTCTAATAAGGGACTACGAATATACAAAGTCTATTTTTAAAACATAGGACTTTCTCTTAAACCACAATGGGGAGACTCCAAGAGAAAAAATAGGAAGCAAAAGTTCTTTTTCCTCATTTACCTTGAAATTTATGATTCAGCCCACTCTTAGTAGAATCATAATCATCAATCAGTCTTCGATTCTTGGTTGAATCAACATCTTCCACATTCAATTTATTATCATATGGGGAGCTTCTAATGGATTGTCTGTCTTTCTCAATTTTTTCCTTTTCTGTTATTGCCTTTAGCAGGTTCAAGTTATCAACAAAGGAATAATTGCTTTCACCTGGCTTATTTTCTGTAAGAAAAGCCCCGGAGCCAAACACATCCATTTTAGTTAAGATTTTTCATAACCTACATTATTAAATTACATCAACATAATTTCTTTTTACCTGGAGGGTATGTTTTTTTAATCTTGTCTGCTTCTGCTTCAGCAATCTGGGAAGTAAATCGGAGGTAGACCTGGTTTTAAATCATTGCTCCACCACTTAACAAATATGACAGCTAAATGATTTAATCTCTGTAGGATTTAGTTTTCTTATTTGTAAAATGTAGATAATACTTTCTATTTCAAAGCATTGCCATAAGGATTAAATGAGATGAAATAAAGGGCAGATGGTCTATAAATATTAATTCCCTTCTCCTGTAATATTGGTAAAAGATAAGTCTGACAAGCAGTCTTAGAGTGGAGGTGATGTTGAGCTTACTGGGTTATTATACAGTCAGTTCTATGTATTATACATTATTCTATGTAAATAACTGTTAAGACATACAATTTCCCAAACCATATTTTCCATTCTAATTGCTGTCAATTTATTACTAAGCTCCTGAAGTTTGTGAATTCAAAATGGCTAAAAGCCACAGAATAATTACATTAAATATAATAACTGAATGAAACTGCATGAAATAGCATTTATAGTCTGACTTTTGACCTACCTGTTCATTCAAAGGTCTTTCTGCACTTAATTCTCTATTATGTAGGGGTTTGTCTAGAATAATCAAACACAAATATAAATTTAATTGTGCAGTGGAAAGGCACAATACGTCTCTTACTACATAAAATCTCCAAAAAAGAGAAATTATTAGGAGAAATGTCTTTTGGATGACTGAGAAACAAAAACATGTATTAACAAAGATAATCAAGATTATACATAATGATGATCATCAATGTTGCCTTGCCTCTTATCCTGGTGTACTTCCTAAGTTAATAGAATTACACTTTTATCTTTCTGCCCAGAAATGTAATCAATCTAACACATAGTTCTAACACTTGGCTTAACAGCTGTTTCCAACTAGAGCATAATCTGGAGTGGAGTGGCATTACTGGCACATTAAAGGCTCTTTTGTCATATGCTGCACATATTATGAATACATATCTGAGGAAGGTTGTAAGACAACTAAAAAAAAAAAGTCACTTTTTTTTTAAGGCAGAGAAACCACCACCCCCCGGCCAGTTTCAAAATAAGATATTTCAAAACAACTCATTATTACTCCATCATTCAAAAAGTGTGAGGGGAAGAAAAAAAATCTGTCTTTCTGTCTCTAAATTCCAACTGATTTCTCTGTCAAAATGCACAGATACGACCTGATCAGGAAACGAGGCAAGGCAGTTCACGGTTCACGCTTTACCTTTTCTTGGCGAAATAAAAGGAGGTGGAGAGACAAGTGCCCACGTACCTTGACCGCCTCCCGGCTTGGGGAAGGCTTGAGCTGGGCTGCTTTGGAGCACCAACACCAGAATCCAAGTGCCGGTCCAAAGGAACCCCATGCTTCCACGCTTGGCTTCCGAAACCGCCTGGCGCCGGGCTCCCGGGCTCCCGGAGCTGTGGCTTTTGTTATGAATGAAAAGGAGGAGTAAAAACAGGAAGAGCTAAGAGGGCGGGTGCGGGGAGGGGGGCTGCAGGCGCCCGGCGGCCGCGGGAGCTCTCGGCTCGGCTGGGCTCGGCTGGGCTCGGCTGGGCTCGGCTGGGCTCGGCTGGGCTCGGCTCGGCTGGGCTGGGCTGGGCTCGGCTCGGCTGGGCTCGGCTAGGCTCGGCTCGGCTCGGCTCGGCTCGGCTGCCGGGTAAAGGGATTCGAAAGGCCGGGCTCGGGGCGGGCGCTCCCGAGGCAGGTCCTCAGGTGGAGGAGAGCGCTGTCCGCCCTGTGGGTGCTGAAGTTCCTGTGCCGCGGAGCCGGCCGCGGGTCGCCTAGGGCGTAGCCTTACTCTCCCCTTCCCTGAGAGGAAGTGAGGGAGGAGGCGCATGCTCCCTGGGAGCCAGAGGCGGGCAGGGATGGCGTCAGCGACGCCAGCTACTCCGATCCCCCGGGAAGGCGAGGGGGGAGGGGCGACTGGCAGGCCGGCGTAGTCTGTGCCGCAGTCCTGCCGGGGCTCCGGCGCTCAGGGTCCCCTGGATTGCCGTGAACTTGGACGTCGTTGTCGTAACTTCCCAACTAAACGTTACTTCAAGGACCAAAGGCCTCCCTGCCCCTGTGCCTGTCAAGGAGAGCTAGATAACCTTGTATGAGGGTTTCTGCCTTCGGATAGTCCTGGGGTATCTGCTCCTGAGTCCCGTATTTGCACTCTACCTCCTGTACCCAAAAGGGAGACACGATTCTTACATCCTTAGAAAAGCCCTGCCTTTGTGATGAGCTGGCATACAAAAAGTCCCTTGGTGCTCTTATTTCTGTCTTAGCTCTACGCAGTCTTTTGAATTGGGAAATTCAAGGGACGTTCTTTCAAGGAGATTGCTGCTATGCATTCTCACTCTCCTAGATGCTGAAGCAGAACTAAAAAAATTATTACCTGTTCCCCTAAGCATGGATGTCCTCATCAGTCGCGGGTAGGTAAACATCAAGGGCCAGTTTCATTGTAAAATTTCCCCTTCCCCACTAAGGGGAAAGCTCCCTCTTCATCAGTACCAGCACCACAAAACCAACCAACCAACCAACCAACCAACCAACCAACCTGCATCTCAGTAAAATTCTTCCCCAGGGTTCAATTATGCCTAAGGGCCTGGCTGTTCCAAAGGTCTTTGAAGAGAGGGGAGAGTCACAAAAAGGATTTACATCGTAACTAGGTCAGGAGGTGCTTCCTACCTTCTGAGAATATTCCCCCAAAGCCTAACATTATAGCATAAAAGAAGTTATCAAAAGACTTTTAAATGATGAATACAAGAAACAGTAATGTGAGCAGGATGCTGAGTAAGCTCTTTAGTTTCTGATTTTTAAAAGAAGCTTGGAACCTTTCCTTTGGACTGTGGCATTCTGGGAACCAATCTGAATAATGACCAAATAGAAGGATTCAGCACAATCAGGCCTTTGATTTCTGCACCCTTGCTTTTCAAGGAGCAAGTTAGTAATTCAAGTACCTAAAAACAAACAAACAAACAAGCTAATAAACAAATCTCCCTTTTTTCTGAAGGTTTTTGAGTTTGGAAGTCACTCAAATACTTTCCTTGACAATCTGAAGAGTACTTTCAATCTAACAGCTATTTCAAAACAAATAGTTGTTTCTTGGCAGTGATAACACAGCATTATTATCCCAGGATACTGCATTAAAAAATTTGTAACAATTTAAGATCCCAGCTGATTGAAGAGTAAATTTCCTCAGGTTCCGCTTCTTTAAAACAGAGATGACAGGCTCTGTTTCTCATATGTTGTGGGATCAAATGGTACATGTTTTGATCAAGTCATTTTGATGCCAAGAATATTTTGACACAGCCTGAAAAATAGGTTATGAAATGTTTTCAGCACTTAAGAACATTGACGAATATTATGTGAAATAGCCATTCACTAATCCTGACACTCACTCTTGCTTACCTCATTCCTCAGTCTCACACTATTTTTTAAACCATTTTCTCCCATTTTTTAATTGAAATATAGTTGACACACAATGTAACACTAGTTTCAGGTGTACAACATAGTAATTCAACAATTTTATATATTATGCTGTGCTCACCACAAATGTAGTTACCATCTGTCAACATATGACACTATCACAATACAATTGATTATATTCCCTATAATGTGCCTTTCATCCTGGTGACTTATTCATTTCATAACTGGAAGCCTTTACCTCCCACTCCCTTTACCCATTTAGCCTCATTCTTTTATTTGTCTTGTTTCTGACTTATCTCTCCCCTCAATATATATTTGCAATTGAGAGAGAGGCTCAGGTGGAGTGAAGGTAAGGGATAGCTACTAAGCACGTTGCATTGCTTACCAAAAATTTTTTTAAAAGGGTTTGACCTCTCGCTGCCATTTCTCAAAGTGACTGTGTTAAATGTACACTGAATCTAGGTACATGTTATGTTTCTTATCAAATGAGCTGTGGAACACTGAATAAACTCTAAGGCATGAATTTACATTTCTAAGTCTTATGGATGTTTCTGCTGGACACAGTGTAGGTCTGAATGGAGTGATCCTAAGTTTCATTATTCATTTAGCAGATATTTATTGAGCACTTGAAATGTAGCAGGTATTGAAATAATTGCTGGGTGTACCAAGACAAATAAGATGGTCACTGCTAGTCCTTACAAAGGACTGTAATTATAACAACAACAACAACAAACATAACTATTTACTGTGTAGTTTTCATGTTCTACACATTGATCTCATTTAAATATAAGAGAACAAATATGCACAGACGTGTGTTATGGGTCCTCTCTTTTATGTGCAGATTTCAGGTGGTGTGCAAATAATGGAATTAATGGTCAGGCAAAATTTCAAAGAGAAGATATCTCTTTTCTTAATAATAAAAAGATTAAAATATTTGATTAGTGTGTATACCTACACTGTAAACATTGAATAGTGTAATGTTGTTTTTGTTTTTTTTTTTTTTATTTATTTATTTATGATAGGCACACAGTGAGAGAGAGAGAGGCAGAGACATAGGCAGAGGGAGAAGCAGGCTCCATACACCGGGAGCCCGACGTGGGATTCGATCCCGGGTCTCCAGGATCGTGCCCTGGGCCAAAGGGAGGCGCTAAACCGCTGCGCCACCCAGGGATCCCGAATAGTGTAATGTTGAAACTACAAGTGTCATTGACACAGATCAGAGTATCATAAAATAGGCATCATGTAATGTACAGGTAGTTTGTCAGTGCTTTCTGTGTATAGGTGAACACACACGTGGATTGTTTGTCATGCTCTCATTCACTGGTGGAGAAGATGCCTTTTTTAAAAAAAGATTTTATTTATTTATTCATGACAGAGAGAGAGACAGGCAGAGGGAGAAGCAGGCTCCATGCAGGGAAACCAACGCAGGACCTGATCCTGGGTCCCCAGGATCACAACCCTGGGCTGAAGGTGGAGTTAAACTGCTGGGCCACCAGGGCTGCCATTTTTTAAAAAGATTTTATTTAAGGATGCTTGAGTGGCTTAGCGGTTGAGCACCTGCCTTTGGCCCAGGGCATGATCCTGGAGTCCTGGAATCAAGTCCCACTTTGGGCTTCCTTCATGAAGCCTGCTTCTTTTCCCTCTGCCAGTGTCTCTGCCTCTCTCTTTCTGTGTCTCTCATGAATAAATAAATAAAATCTTAAAAAAATATTTTATGTATTTATTTGACAGAGAGAGAGAGAATAAGCAGGGGCAGCAGCAGAGGGAGAGAGAGAAGCAGGCTCCTCATTAAGCAGGGAGCCACAGGTAGGACTCTGATTCTAGGACCCTGAGATTATGACCTGAGCTGAAGGCAGACACTTAACCAACTGAACCACCCAGGTGCCCTGTGAAGATGGCTTTTGAGCTGAGTCTTGAAAATAGAAATATTGAACAAATATTTGATGTTTTTATTCATTATTGAAAAATAATTATATTAGTTATTGGATGTTTTATTATAGGAAACTTCAAACAAACACAAAAGTAGAGAAAATCCTGAAATTAACACCCATGTATTCATTATCCAACTTTAATGGTCATTAACTCATGACTACTCTTTTTATTTTATATTCCCAACCACTTTGCACCCTCAATGGATTATTTACCTGTAAAAATCCCAGACTTCATATCATTTCATCCATAACTATGTCAGTATATTTACCTAAGAGATAAAGTTTCTTTTATCCTAACATTACTGTAATACCTTTAGCATACATCATAATAATAATATTACCTTAGTATCATCAAATATCCAGTCAGAATTCAAACTTCCCCACTTGCCTTATAAATATTTTGACTGTTGGTTTGCTTGGACCAGGACCTAAACAAAGCTATGCGTTACATTTGGTTAGCATGTGAGAGACACATATGAAACCTCATGTTTCAAGGTTTTCTTTGAGTTCCCCAGACAAGTTAGTTTCTTTCTTAGAATACTGTGCACACTTCCAATGTGGCATGTAGCCCATTGCGCTGCTTTTTGAATATGCTTCTTTTTCCTATTTCAAAAATAATAAATGTACATCAAAGGAAAATTCTGAAAATACAGATAAGCAACGAAGGGGAAAATCTGGTGGAGATAACTACCAACTTTTGGTGTATGTTCTTTTGGTGCCTGTTTTTTTTTTCTAAGAAAATATTTTTTATATATCTTTATTAAACTGTATTTCATACTATATAATTACTTGCTTACATAATTTATCCCACTAGCTATTTATCCCACTAAACTATGAAATCCTCAAAGGAAAGGATCTTGTCTTACCTTTCATTTCTCAGCCATCCTTACAGCATCTGGAATCCATTTGCTTAAATAAATGAATAAAATGACAAGAATTACCAGTTCACCTTTGGTCTTCAAATGCTGAGATTATGAGGGGTGTCCCACATTGGAAGTCTTACAGTGCCAGGAGCTGCCGGTTGCCAAAATTGCTGTTAGCCCTTCCATCAGTTTGAATTTCCACTCAGCAATTTTTTTTTACACGAAAGAGTAATCTTGCAGAAGAGGTGTTCTTGAAAGGCCTAAGAATAGAGAGGAAGAGC